TGGACCGAATTCATCCATAGGATATTACTATAGGTTCTCAACTAAAAAGCAATATCGCAAAATGATAACAGTTGTATATATAATTATTAATAACTGGATGTTAGGTGGATGACAATTTGATGAACAATTGGATGGTCATTGGATTTTATCGGTTCGGTTTTATTAGGTTCTGGACTACCATCCAAGAACCGACATATCCAATTTGGATGTTGAAATTTTGGATCTGATCCAATCCAATTACAATTGGATATCTGATTATGGTTGGTGGATTTTAATTAGATTGATCAGTTTAAATTGGATTGGATAACTTATTACAAACCCCTAGGGACTAGGACTAAGTGAGACAAATAAGACTTTCTTTTGTTATACCGAAAAAAAGTAAAAAAATCATAAAGATGAAAGCAAAGAACCAGAGCTTTCAGCGAAAAGGTAAGGGTCTCATGGTTGATACTCATGAGTGGATTGATGAGCCAACCTCTTCCTCCAGTGATGAGAATATGACACATCTGTGCCTTATGGCTAAAATACAGTAGATAAAAGACTTTGACAAGGGATCCACCTCCACTGCTGCTGATGTACCTTCTACCTCCAAGGAAGGCAAAAATCCGGTCAAATTTGAGGATGAACCTTCCAGTAAAGTCAGATTTCTCTTCATCATCATCAGAATCATTTGAAGAGTCACCTTCATCTTTGTTCTTTCCATGACGAAGCCAGACTTTTGGAATAATAGAATCATCCTTAAGGATAGAGAGATATTGACTATCAACACCCTCAAGGAAGAGTGTCATGTGATTTTTCCATAGAGGAAAGTTGTTCTTGTTGAACTTTAGAGGCTTGGAAATAGTGCCATTGTCATGGTAAGAAGAAGGAGTAGAGTTGGAAAAAGAAGAGGTCATTGCAGATCTAGCTTATGAGATTAAGCTAACCGCTCTGATACCACTTGTTGGTCCTAAATGGGATGACAATAAACATAAAGTAATTGTAGAAAGGGGTGAATACAATTACACAGACTTTTTTAACTTTTTAATTCTTATTGATGTATATCAAGAATTAACACACAGAGATACAATAAAGATTGTTGTGAAAGAAAGAAATGATAACCTATCCTAAACAATCTTACAAAGAGAAGAACTTACAAGAACAAAACATAGAGTACTTGCAAGGAAATGAAGAACACACTAAGTTTTTTTTCACACACAAGAGAGTAAGGGAGTAGAAGAGGAGAGTTGATTGCCTTGATAATAAACTTAGAAATCTTTCAAGGGTCGAAGATCTTGTAGTCAAAGATAACCACGATCATAGGTATCATGATCGTAGATCGTATGAATCCTAGTTTTAGTTGTTGCAGTCGAGGGAGATATCTTGTCGGTCGAAGGTACGATTTACCAAAACACCCTTCGTCGCCTTTAGGTTAGATCGCATCAACGATAGGATACTTCAAAAGGACGTGATGATATTTTCGTAATATCTGAAACTTCGGTCGCGTTGTTCTAAATGGACATGGAGTTTAACGTAACTTAATCTCCCTTAGGTAGCATTTAGTATGGAGACAAGATTGGACAGGACAGGAATGGATAGGACAAGAGGGTAGGACTGTACGAGACAGGACTGAACGGGACATGACTAGACAGAAAAAGTGTATGTCTAGTGTTTGGTACGACTAGGACTGGATAGGACAAAAGTAGACAAGTTGCCCCCAAAAGTTATTTAATAGTTTTATATAACTTATAATAGGTATAATTAACACAAATAAAGTAAATAGTTAAATAACTTAATTTGTAAACAATTTTACACAATTTTCATATACATAAATGCATACATATATAATAGTACAAAATTTGAATGAAATTTTTGATAAATTGATGGTAGTTCGAAAAAATCCAATTCCTACAACGGAAAAATTATTTTTTATTTAGTTTGGAAGATCCTTATCAATTGGTGAAGGCACGATGCGAATTGATGCAACAACAATGGTTGTGGAGGTAGAGGCAGTTGTGGAGAATGTGAAGATGGTGGATAGTGGTGGGGGTGGCAGTCGACAATGGTGGAGGATGTAGCTATGGTCAATGTAGTGGATATAATGATAGTAGTAGTTAGGGATGTAACTGATGTGATTCGAGCTCGAGTATCACTGTACTCGACTCGAACTCGAACCCAATTTCCAAGCTCGAACTCAACTCGAAAACTCGCGAGTAGTAAAATTAAAGCTCGAGTCGAACTCGAATCAAGCTCGAACTAAGCTCGAATCAAACTCGAACTTGGGTTCGAAACAAGCTCGAACTCAAATCAAACTCGAACCAAGTTCACCCATTGAAATTTATAAAATTTTAAGGTTTTTCTCTTATAAATTTTAAAATTTAAAGGTGCTCTCTTAGTTTTTATAAAACTAAAGGATCAATTTCAAACTTGATCATCAAAATAACAAAGTTAGAAATTCCATTCACATCCCTCTCTTTTTATAATATTTTTTCTCTCTTCCTTTACCATATCTCTTCCAAGGTGGGACAATTTCACTAATCTTTTTTATATCTTTGTTTTTTTAAATGTGATTTTAATAAAAAATAATTGATTAAGTTTTATAATTAAAAAATGCATAATTCTGTTAAATATCTAAAAATACAAGACATTTTTATTATTTATATTTTACAAATTTTATCATAAAGCTGATTATATTTTAAAACTAATTATATATAAAATAATTGAGTATCTCACGAGCTTTTCGAGTCGAGTATTGGGTAGCTTGACTCAACTCGTTAATATATTGAGTCGAGTTAGAGTTCGAGTTCAAGCCGAGCCTATTCGAGTCGAGTGTTGACCGAGTCGATTACGAGTAGCTCGCAAGTTGTCTTGTATCATTTACACCCCTAGTAGTAGCAGTAACCAATAGTGGTGGTAATTATGATGGAAGTGAGGTGGCCTATGGGATAGTGGTGGTCGATGGCGGATGGTGGTTGTAGAGGTGATGAAGGAGGTTGTTGACCTGTTGTGGTAGAGGAGGAGGTGGAGGTGGCCAATGGTGGTGGTGGTGGTTGGTGGTTGACAATGGTTGTGAAGGTGATGATGGATGGTTGATGGTGATTGTGGTTGTGATGAAGGATGTTGTTGACTTGTTGTGGTAGAGGAGGAGGTGGAGGTGGCCAATGGTGGTGGTGGTTGGTGGTCGACAGTGGTTGTGGAGGTGGCGATGGATGTTGACGGTGGTTGTGGAGGTGGTGATGGGTAGCAGTGGTCGGTGGTCTATGGAGGTTGTTGTGGTGGAGGAAGTCAAGTTTTTATAGTGGAAGAGGAGGTAAATGTGGCCGACGCCAACGATGGCTACTTGTGGTGGCGGCGGGCACGATTAGCGGTGGCGACCACTAAAAAAGACCATATTAAGGTTATATATCAAATGATGGTAAATTGATTGTTTTAGTTTTTGTCTCATTCTTGTCCTAAATAGATGGAACAATAAAAAAAAAAACTTTTTCTATCCTAGTCCCACCTTGTCCATGTCCCATGTTGTGCCAGACGTGGGACAGTGAAATCTTGTTTCGTCCCATATCACGCCAAACATGCTATAATGAGTTTTAACCTGTCTTGTTCTATCCCATCACATGTATCAAATGTAACCTTAAAAACCTTAATATATTTTAAACTGTCCATGTTAACATAAGTTAACATGGAAATATTCAACCTTGATATACATCAACGCACCATGACTAGTTTGAATATAATGAATCTATGTCAGCATACTGCATACCCTATAATCTTAACATATATTAACAAGAAAACCTTAACATCCAATTTTAACACATGGTGTTGTAATCTTAACATATCTTAACTCATAGCAACACACATTAACCATGAAAACTTTAACACAGTTTAACATATAGTGAAAAAAACATTTTAACACATTAATACATGTTAAAAAAAACAACGTTAATACAAAGACCGAACAATTAGGTGGCGTTTGTCTTTTTTTAAGAGGTGCTGAAGTTTGAAGTCTGATTTCACTTCTGATCTTTAAGAGGTGGTGCTGAAGTCTGAAATCTGAATCAGTCAGACTGTTTGTTTTTACGTTTGAAGTCTGAAATCTGAATCAGTCATATTGGTTATAACAATGTTTTGTTTCAACATGGATTTGTATTTCTTTCTTTCAAGGTTTTAGTCAAATAACAAAAAAAATCAGAGTTTTCCTTATTGTGATCTTCTTCGTCGCCTTCAGATTTTGATTATGTATCATGTTGGTCGTGAGCAGAATCGTGGATCATTATAAGATGGACCACCATCGAGAAAGAGTTGATCTAAGAGGTATTAAATGATAGGTTTATCACTTAAAAATTCAGAGGAAAGAAACATCATTTAAGCTTTTATTTAAAAAAAACGGTTTGAAAATAAAAATGTCTAAACGATTCAGACTTAAAAGGTGATTAAACAAAAAATTTAAAAAAACAAACAAGACGTTAATTTGTTCCTCGACTTTCGACAACCTACAGACATAACATTTTCATGATTCCTATGGATTTTGGAGTTTTACATAAACCTGAACGATAAGTTGTACATTTGAAAAATTAAGAGTATGTGAAACAAAATTTTAGATATTTTAAAATATAATAAAGAGTAATTATGACTTAAATATTGTGATAACATCAATGATATGCGACATATTAAATATATTTTAGATATTTGCTGGTAATCACTGGGGAGACCGTGCCTAATACGTGGGCATCTAAATGGGCCTTGTCACCCCCCTACTCTTGAGCGTCGATCGTGTACGTGTCGCCCCACCATTACCATCCCACGACGCTTAGACGTTTTAAAACGGCTTTCACTATTGTCGTTTCGCGCCCACCGGAAATAAACGCCTTTTTCGCTTTATTTTTCAGCAAACCCACCGTAAACAAACCTAACCACTGAAACAGAAATTAGTTTTTTTTCTTTATTTTATTTAAAATAAAAAAATAGAACCCACTTTTCCGGCCCTATAAATACGATGCTCGAGGGAAGCTAAGTTTGCCAATTTACACACCCAAACGCGCTCTTTAAAAAAGCCTCCCTCTTCTCCCTTCCATACATTTTACTCTCTTCACACTGTAACAGATCAATGGCGGTTTCAACACGAAGAACAAGCGGACCGGTGCTACGATCTCATGCTCCATCTGGAAGGTTCAACAACTCGCCGTCGTCGACGTCGTCGTTTGCTTCCACCAGCTCTGCGTTTTCAGCCAGATCTAGTTCGTTTTTTCAACAGAGGCCGGCGTCGCCAGCTCCTGTGAACATCTACGGAACGTCGTCGTCGTCGTCGTCGTCCGTGCGATTCTCCCTGGACAATCGTTCGATCTCTCCGAGTAGATCGATATCCTCGCTACCTAGAAATCATAATCAGGCGGTGAAGAAGCAGTTGGAGACTCCAAAGAGGACGTGTATGTGTTCACCTACGTCGCATCCAGGATCGTTCAGGTGCAGCTTGCATAAGAACTCCAACAACAATAACAGCCACAACCATACGGCTTCGTATCCCTCAAACCGACTCAACGCGAGGCGGTCGGCGATGACTAACTCGCTCGTTCGTATAGGAACCGTAGAAGGTGGTGATTTGGTGAAGAGAGCTCTAGCGGCGTTGATTCGACCATCGTCTCACCAACAAAAACGTAGAACATCGTTTCAGCCTAGGCCAAGTCGGCTATCTGTCATGTCAAAGGCGGAGGATTTTTAGATTCTGAAAAATTCGGTATGTTCGTTGATTACTCTGAACGTCCGGCTATTGAATCCAAAGACGGTTGCGTACGATAACAGCAGATCGCGGCGAGTGGGAAATCGAAGAGATCGGAATGAGCGGCTTTTTAAGATATCGGTAAACCGAATCAAAGCACTCACAAGAGGGAACACCCTTTTTATGTGTAAATACTTACAGATGACGATATATGAATATCATCCGTTGCTGCCATCAATGACTAATGAAGCAACTTCAATTCTAAACACTAATCTAAGCACACTGGAATATTAAAATTAAAAGCCAATTCAACCAGATCTACCACTCAAACAATTTTGGATACCTTGAATACCTTCTTCCGTCATCGCACATCCGTTTGACGGTGAACTTTACGTCCTCTTGATGATCTCCATCTCCATCCTTTATTATCTCCGTTTCGTCAAGTCGATTTTCATTTCACTGTGTTCCGTTAGGCTCAATTTCGTTCCAGTCCGTTCTGTGCCGTGTCATCTGAGTTGAGGTTCGCCGTTCGTCGTTAACTGCGATTATATACCATTCGTTACACGGTGATCATGGTATGCGTCGTACCCCCTATCGCCGTTCTGTCATCTGGTAAATTCTATTTTGTATTTTAACTTATTTTTGCTGGTGATTTTATTATTATTATGTTTTTAATTGATTTGCAGGTACGTTGTAGTGGACAGGCTGGACTTTGAATACAGAGAGCCTGGATCAGTGTGCCGTTTATGACTTTGATTTTGAGGAGTAATAGGACCACACTTGCCTTTGCGTTGAGGATTGATGTAGTATGTAGGAAAGGGAAGACCTAATTATCACCACCTAGATACAAACGATTATTCGTTTATCACTATTTAAAACCAAAACAAAACAAAACATTTGGAGCTGCTTTGGTGAACTACCAGCTGGTCTTATTTTAGATAAATGAGGGTGCAACCACAAGGGTGGAATTTGGTGAGTGGTAGCTAGCCGTTAAATAAATAAGAATCATCAAATTTTACTGAAGGATGGCAAAATGAAGGCTGATGATCACTCCTTGTTGAGATTGGTGAGGCTAATCAATGGTTTGCTGCCCTCTGAACTGTAATTACATTGATTCCATCTTGCAGGGGAAATTTTAGTGGTTAGGTTTAATATTGAACTTGAACGGAACTTACCTTTGAGAATAGAGGATTTAAATAGTTAATAAATTTAGCGATGTCTGAGATCTCGTAGACAGCCTGAAAACGATCTATGACTTCGATATGAAAACGAGAACTGCTCAACCTTTTATAGGGAATCTGACCTAAATTGTCAGAAGTCAACTTTCTCGAGAACGCTATGCTTTTTCAAGTGGAATCTTAACCATACTGACACAGGTAACACAGATTTACAAATTATTGTTGACCATCACAGACGTTTTGTGATATTTATTGTAAAACACGAGACATAATTGTTTTACAAAGTAAACATTTTTCAAAGAGAAGTGTGTACACACAAATGTAACATTTGCAAGTACTTTAATTAAGGGATATTTAATCAAATTTTGAATCTGAAGTCTGAACTCAATGTGAAATCACGAGTCTATACATGTAGAGTTGGGTTTTAGCCTGTTCTCGTGCGTTGCAGATTAGTGATTGTGGTCGGGTTGTAGAGGCAATAATCTGTTCTGTTGGCCATTGAAAAATCACGAGCTTCAATTCGAAAGAGACGAAAAATATTCGAATTGAATGGTCAGCGTACAAGGGAAAGAGCATTTGTAATGGATCACTTAAATGGAAAATGTGGAGCAAATGCTCTAGGGATTTGATACGTTTGTGAAGAAGAGCTCCATTTGACAGAATCTTCCACCAAAAGAGGGAATCAGTTCATCGATGATTGAAACACAAATGTAAACGATTGGGTCTTCGATTTAGAGGAGGGTTGATGTTGATCCTAGTAAAAAATGGAGTTGGCAGCGTGAAAGGATTGCACTAGTAGTGGCTTCAATGTGCCAAGCCGTTGCATCCACCCGATATATGTTTATGCACTTCAATGAAGTATAGCTTCGGTAATGGGTGTGTTCCAGAATGCAATCTTTTTGCCTTTGCCACATACCTATGTCCTTTTTCGACAGGAATTCAAACGTGTGATCGTGTTGATTAAACTGAAATGATGTCAATGTGTGAAACCTCGATGCAATACATAAGGTGGCCCCACAGGATAGGCAGGCACTTGTACTTCCATTTAACTTTGCAAATATAAGGCTAGCATTTGGTAGGGACATCGGACCGGACAGGTGGGAAAGGACAAGAATGTATAAAACAAGAGTCTGTTTGATGTTTGGTACAGTTATGGTGGACAAAAGTAATTAATTATTTTATATATCATATAATAGTTATAATTGAAGTAAATAATTAAATTATTTAATTTATAAATATTTTTACACAATTTTTATATACATAAAAAAGTACAAAATTTGAATGGAAAAAATTGATATAATTGATGGTAGTTTGAGATTTTTCGATTTGCACAAAAGAGATTATGTTTTGTTTGGTTCAAAAGATCCTTATCAATTGGTGAAGGTAGAGTGTTGGTTATGGTGGAGGTGGAAGGGGTGGTTGGTCAACGGTACTAGTAGTGGTGGAGATGGACAATGGTGGTCAATAACCGACGGTGGTTGTAGAGGATGTGAAGATGGTAGATAGTCGTAGTGGTAGCCGATGATAGTGACCGATGATGGTAGCGGTAGCCGATGATGCTGATGGGCAGTGGTAGCCGATGATGCTGATGGGCAGTGGTAGCCGATGATGCTAATGGGCAGTATTATGTTTTTTTGTATCATGCTGCGCACATTGTCTTAGTTTTTGACCCTACCACATATCATATCAAACGTGGGACCATGAGTTACTGTCATGTCTCATGTCGCATTAAACGTGGAACAATGAGTTTTGTTTTGTCATGTCCTATCTCATGTACCAAACGCAGCCTAAATAAGATCAGTGATTTACGCCATTTTGATCAAATTTAATTTAATTTAATTTAAATAGTATATTTATTTGGTCAAACCAATGTGGGAGGGTGTTGTTTTACTTACCTAATGGTTGAGATTAGTAGAGAGCCTATCTTGTATTCGGACAAATTATTGCACTATTTCGTCAAGTGAGTTATATGTCGGCAACAAATAGATTTTTCTATTCGAAGTCTCGAACCAACTCCTAATGTACACCATGGTTGACACTTGATATACATTTGGTAAAATTGAAAGTGATGAGTCATATATACATAGTTTAACTAACAATAAATATTAGGTCTTTGAGACTCTTCCTTCGTCGTGAGTTCGAGTCTTCCAAAGTTATTGGATTTTTTCCTAACCATTATCTAGGATCCTGAGATTAATAAACCAAGTTGCATGCATGCAAGCAGACTAAACATCCACAGTTTTACATTAAAAAAAAATTAACTATCTAAGTTATTTTCATATACTTGATGTTTTACCACATACACGATATATATATAGATTTGGGATCATATGAGACCAAGGGTTTTTCGTGAGACCTGTAAGACCAATTCTCAACCATTGGATTAGATCTACAATATGAACATTCATAATCACAAAATTGCCACGAGACTTCTCAATAATCATAAAATTACCACCGAGCAACTTTAGACCATTAGATCGTTAGCTTATAAAGTTGATCAATGAACATAAATTGGTCTTACGGGTCTCACAAAAAACCTTTGGTCTCACGTGAACCCAACCCTATATATATATATATATATATATAGAGAGAGAGAGAGAGAGAGAGAGAGAGATGAGTGATCAAATGCAACCCACCCAATTTGTACAATACGTGTAAATCACCCTCATTCGTCGATTTCATTGTTTAATCTTATAAAAAAATTTATGAAATTGTTTAATCTTGTGAAATTATTTTATGTAATACTTTTTTTGATGAAATTGTTTCATATATGGTTATGAAATTGTTTCATATATGGTTATGAAATTGTTTCATATATGGTTATGAAATTGTTTCATACAATAGTTAATGAAATTTTAATGAAACTCTTTCATATATCTATACTATATTATAAAACGTTTGACAAAAACTCTTAGAAACCATTATTTATGCATGAAAATATTGTGCGTTAATGCATATTACTTGAAATTTAATATTACAAGTAAATTGTGCATAAGTACAACTTATTAAAGCTTAATTCTTGAATTCGTATAACTAACTACAGATAAACACAATCAAATATGGAATAAATATCTTATTTTAAATATAAAAAATCTAAAATATAATTGGGATAATTATCGAGTTATAACAGAATTATTATTATTATAAAAAATTTATTATTAAGCCAGAAATAAATTACTTCACTATTTGATCTAAATTAAATTATAATAAAAAATAGAATTAAAGAAATTGTACAAAAAACGAGAACTTTGAAATAGTTAATTTGATATTTAATATAGATATATTTTTTTCAAATTTGTTTTTATTCAAAAGTAAAAACATTATCTTTCTCAAAACCACATAAACTGTATTATATCAACAAAGAGAAAAAATAAAAATGAAAACATTAAAATGAAGATGTATCTCGCTGCATTACGCGAGTATCATTCTAGTTTCTTTAAAATTAAAATAATGAAGATGATAATATCCATTATTAACACTCTCCATAATAAAAATGATTAATCAACTTCTCATAATTACAAAAAAATGATTAATCAACCTCTCATAATTACAAAAAAAAATGAACAAAATGAAAAATTATGATTAATTGAATGAGATTTGTACGGTTTATACAAATAACATGTTTTGCAATCGCAAAGTAAACCTCTTTTTATATATAATGGGTAGAAACATAGGAGATAAGCAACAATAGAAGGTAACTTGATTGTTTAGAAAAAAGGTATATAGGATTTGTCTCCATCATTATCTTATTGTAAGTTGCACCAACGATGGCATGGGGATGGGGACACTTCAAGTTTGAGATAAGCTTTTTGAAAGTGAAAGGTGTTTCTTCTTTCTTTTCAACTTTTAAGTTTAAAATACTGAATTGTTAGTAACTTTATAGAGAAATCGGTTAAAATCCATTTCTGTTGTGGGTAATAATGAAGACCAAAAATGAAGAAATTAAAAAGTTCTACTGGTTAGCTTAACTGACAATAAGGTCTAGACTTCTAGGAATCAATCTTAGAAGGTTACTGGTTCAGCTTCTGCTATACCACTGGGATTTCTTGGTTGTTCTCCAAGACCCCTAAGATTAGTCGAGTTGTACGCAAGCTGACCAAACACCCCTAACCCTAGTTAAGAAAAAGATAAAAGGGGCCTTAGTGTTAGAAACAGAAAGTCAATGGATGAAAAATGAAAATTAGAGGGGGTAAGGGTAGAAGCATCATAAAGGATTGGCAGTTGGGCTTGATGACACGAGTGGGTCCAGTAAGGACAGCCCACATGATGTAGGAGATCTGATTTGATGTGGTGACGAACAAAAATGTTGGGTGGGTCCCACCAAAAAACAAAATTCGATGGGCGTGAGCTGTACCCACAAACGGTTTTGAATCCGTATAAAAGAAAACAAATTTAAAGCTAGTAGATATCCATATTATATAATTTATTCTAAATAATAAAAATTAATATAATTAGGGTCTGTTTACTAAATACTTACTTGGTAGATGCTTATCGGATAAATTTTTTACCGAATGAACATGAGAAGGGTCAAAAATCTTACCAGGTAAGAGCGATGAGAATGATGGAGAGTCTTACCCGGTAAATGAGAATGACGACTCTTACCCAGGTAAGCGCTTACCCAGTAAATTGTTGCATTTGATATGTTTTGATGTACTAAAATCTTGCGCATCAAAATAAATCATAGTGTTGGCTCATATCGACAATTGGGTAAACGGCCCCTAAATTTTATATATTATTTTAGTAAAGATCAATGCTTATTTTGTATTAACCGTTTCCTAATTGTAAAATATTCCAACATCATCAATACAAATAAATTGCTTAAATCAATAGTTTTAGCTAATGCTTTATTTATAATTGAAGTTTTGTTGATTTTAATTATATATCCAAATAACAAGTAGTCATAATTGCAGTAATGTATTATTTCCGTTTATTAAACCGAAATAAATTACTTTGTTATTATATTTATATTACATTATAATAAAAAATTTAATCAAATAACTTACATAAAAAACGTGAATTTTTAGATGGTTAATTTAATACTAATATCGATATAATTTTTCAATTTTTTATGGAATATTCGAATTTATATTTTATTCAAACATAATAACATTATTGATTTATCAAAACCATATAAAAACGTGTAATTTATATTAATAAAAAGTAAACATTAAAATCAAAACATTGCACGAGTATCTTTCTAGTAAATAAAAATTCACAATTACTCTTGCTCACGAACAAGGTGCATCCCCATCCCCTGTTAGAAATTTAGGATTGCCAAAACAGGGTAAATGGTAATCGAAATCTGGATTGCTTAAAAATCATGTAAGTTCACTTTCCGAACTGATCACAAATCATGTACCTCTTCATTCTAATCACGTTTTTCCACTACATTCCAAGTCCAAAATTTCGTAGAGGTTTTGGTGCCCCAAACCCTGCGGGGGGCCGCAAGGGGGCACAACCCACTTGACCCACGCCATTTCGTTGCGTCCAGGATCAAACTCACCTTATATATAAGTATACACTCCGCACCACCTAACTTGTATTAGATTACAGCTTTGAAAACCTATTGGCACTCGTGTTAATTCCAATGGCCGGTGAAACTAAAATCACCAACATCCCCTATCCCTTGTCAACTCAAGGATTATACGGTCAAACTGGTTTTCAGGTTCTCTTTACCATCCCTAATCCTAGATGCAACAACAAAAACTGAGTTTTAATTGTTCAAATTGCATAATACTCCATTCCATTCCATCCCATTCCATCTTCCGTACCAAAAGAAAACAAAAGTTGAACACTTACAAAACCAGAGTAATTGTCAATAAACCGAAGCAGTTTTGTTTTGGTTTCACAACTTTTGCAACCATGTAGTATAAAAAACCTTAGAGATCAACTTTGGACCCTGGCTATCAAGAGCTGCAACCACCATAAGTGGCTAAAGAGCCAACCATGAAGAATAGCTCAACCCATAACAACTTGGATTTGCTTCAAGTTCAGGTCCTCTCAGAGCCACTTGAGGTTTTGTCAGACTATTTACTTCAAGGTCTCATGAGATCAGTCAAGATGCATTCAAGTGGGCCCAGGCATCTACGGTTACAAAAAAAAAAGACTAAAGAGCCTTCAACCCAGTAGCCCAATAAGCCCAGAACAGACTGATAGAGGTGTTACCTCTTAGAAGACCAGCTTCTGGCTCTACATATCAAAATGATACATTAAACAGCTCTTGAAGCTATACCAAAGTATTTTTCTTAACTCCTAAACAAGTTACCATTTTCGTTCAAGATCTCGACCATATGATATCTGATCTGACAACCATTTCAAAACCCTTGAAGCTATCTACAAAAAGTTGATCAACGTCCATCGCCAATTTAGCAGCAACACCACCATTTCTGAGATTTCTTTCACAAAAAAGACGTCATCAGCTTCACCATAAAGAAGAACAATACAAATCTTCTCTGAATCATTGCAATCCATACCTTACTTATCTGCTTTAATACAAGTCAACAATCTTCCCACTGAAATAGTCAAACATGGCTCAAATTAGAAATAGATTCGATTATGATTCATACCAACAATTATGAGGTACCCAGATGCGCATTTTTCATACAAAATTCTCTATCCAACATCAAACAATCCATGTAATTCATTAAACAAATATTTTAACAGGATCACCACTTTGAAGTTCTCTGTAATAAGTATACGAGTATATCTACAAAAACGGCTCCCATAGAAAGTACATAGATGCCAGTGGAGGTTTGGTCTCAAAGTCTAATCTTTCTTCTCCTATCACTGCCTTTGGTAGCACGATATTGGGGAATCTCACTGCTATTACTCAATTTATAATTTTATAAAAACATACTTCACACATTTAAGATAATCTAAAATCAGTTTTTTAAGGTTCGCTTCTCACTATTTTCCTAAAAAGACATCGCTAAAGCCTGAATGTGCACTTCAAGATGACAGAAAATCAAGGGGTTTAGGGTCATTATAACTAGTCCTTTAGTTGCAGCTATTATAAATCTGCTCATTATGTTTTTGACTAGTTTGATGTGCTTTTTGCAGAAAAATAATATCATTTGTATTTACTATTTAACGGTGAACCCAATCTTTGACAATCCTCCATCCACCGCGCATTGGGTATGCAAGATTTGGGGAGAGTTTGAGTCGGAAACCTTCCTTGCATTCTTGCTAAGAACCATTTGCATGATACAAGCCGATGACGGCAAGAGAGTAACTTTACCAGTTGCTCAGAGGCTAGAAAGAGAAGTACAAGAATATAAACTTACTTTTATCTATAATTTGACACTCAAACTTTATATATAACGACCCCTTTCCAATAAAAATGGTTAAGAAAAAGAAATATGAAATATACTGTGGCTTCTAGATAAGCTTCCAAATCTTTTTCATAAGTAAGGGGGTCTTCTTAAAAACAGCCTCTCGACTTCTTGAAGTAAGGAAAGGTCTGTGCACGTCTTACCTCCCCATACTCTACTTCCGAGTTGGGTGTTACTGAGTTTGTTTAGTTTGGTTTTTTTTGCTGGACTTGAATTTAGGAGTCAAATTGGTATTGTCAAAAAAGCTTTGATGACTCAAAGTTCATATCAGGAAAGAAGAGTGGTAAAAATGGGGCAAGCGTTGGCTATCCAATTCTAGAAAACCTTAGGTTATCAATGTTGTCAACTAAGATGGTTTCCCAAGTCATCTTAGGGGCTGTTTACTAGAATAAATGGGTACGATGCTCTAACAGGTTCAGCAATTCAGCATCTCGTTCAGCCATAATTGTTGGTCAGAAGGTGTTGGTAAATAACATTATCTCTTACACAATAAAAGGGTATGAGCACTTGGTAAACAACCCCTTAATCTTACTACTTACTACTTCCTACATCCCATGAAAATTCCAATGTTTGACTTGAAATATAACATAAGAGAACCACTTGACAATTCGTCAAATATCTAAAAGTACCCTTTACAAGTGCTTTTAGTCCCAAACTAATACCATTAGTTTATTTGTAAACGATAATAATGGACAAACCATGTAACTTAACTTGAAATCTTTCCATATAAGAAAGTTGTAGCAGTTTTTATGGCATGGAGCACTACAATTATTTGAACTCTTCCTTGAAGATAGTCTATGTTAGTTATCATCCATATTCCATAAGAAATCTTTAACGGGCCGTTTATCAAATGCTTAATGGTAAGCGCTTAGCAGTAAGAGTCACCACCCTCATTTACTTTGTCAGAAAACATTTTTGGCCATCAAAATGGATTGTTTATAAGCGTCTCATACCCCAGCGCTAACCAGGTAAGAGTCTTCTCCTTTATTTACCGAGTAGAAACCTCTGCTGTTGTCATGCCTCTTACCGGGTAAGATTACCAGTCCTTGTCATGCTCACCCGGTAAGCGTTTAGTAAACGGCCCCTAACTCTAAATTTCTAGTGCAAGATTTTTATTATCCAACCATTAAAGCCTATTTATATAAAACACTTGTAGACTAGTCTAGTCCTTCAGCGTTTCACTGCAAAGGAAAGCTTAGATATTGATGATCATAGGAATTAGAAGTTGAATCATCGCCTTTTTATCAACAAAGTTTGCAATATACATCAGAAGACTGAACCTTTTTTACTTAATCTGCACACAGGACTCAGAGCAATAAAGATTGGCATTATATAGATCATAGTGCTATATATCGAGTTATCTTTTTTCCTTCTTTTAAGATCATTAAATCTCATATTGCATATAATGAATGTAGAAACTAAAACTGACCTCCGTGGCATGACATATGGTAAGCCATTTATCGATCATAATTCATAAGTCTTTTCTGTTCCAAATTCATCGACTAGATGTTTCTTTATTGGAATTCTACGTGCTTAGATACCATAAATAAATTCTAACACAGAGAGACATCTAGGGGCAATTTCAAATGAGAATCGTAAATATTTTTAGAACCTAGAAAACCAACTATTTCATGAATTTTTCATGATGAATAACCCTAAAATATTCATGATATCATGCATTCATCATTCACGATATTCATCATCAATAATTCATGAATAGTTGGTTCTCAGGTTATCAAATATTTACAATTCTCATTTGAATCCTCCCCTAGACATATAAATGTTGAGAAGCATTGATTTTTATAGGCACAATTGATCGCATGTGACTGACCCGACTTAAGTCTGAAGCAATGGCACTTCTAATCCTCTCTCCGGCCTCATCCCCTTCTCCTTCATAATCCGGAAGATTGTGATTCCTCATGTAATCTGAATCTTCATCCGGGAACTCCTCATTAGACTTGATAAGAAAATTATGAAGCAAACAACAAGTAACCACAATGTAGGGGAAAGATTCGATTGATTCCTCCTTCCATTCTTTCGACAAAATCCTCCACCTTGCTCTAAGTCTCCCAAACGCAGTATCAAGCAACTCCATCCCTCGATTGTGCACAGAATTAAAAGCTTGTTTTGAATTCAAACACCCATCGTCAATATCATCATCATCATCCTCATCCTCATCATTATCATCATCATCAATATCAGATTTTCTAAAAGGTGTAATCAACCATGGCAAAAGAGGGAAACAAGATTCACCCAAGATGTATTGAGGAATTGAACTACCATCACTAAGTTCATAAGATGGACCATTTAAAATTTCCCTTGATTCCTCAATAGCCGAAAACAGCTCGGATTGACGTAAAACCAATTCGGGTTTCATCGTATTAGGCCAACCAGCTGAAACATCTAAAAACCTACCTTCTGAATCAACCAATGCTTGAACCATCACTGACCCATTCTCACCAAAAAGATTCCCTTTAACACCGAAACTATCAATACCCAAAACCCCACAACAATTTGGAAGTGAAATCCATCCAAAACCGACTACAATTCTATTCAAATCAGACCTTAATTCAAAGAAATGACCTAAATTATCGATAATTGCTTTACATACCACATAGAAAACCCGGCAGGCGGTCGGAGAATCAAGATCGAAGCGTCGAGCAACCGCATTGAAAGTGGCGGAGTGCGCAAGGCGGAAGAGGGTGGCGGCGACGGCGTAATTGGGAGGGATTGAGAGAGAGGATAGAGAAGGGGTTAGGAGTGGGAGTAAGTAAGAAAAAGATTGTTTCGACATTCGAAATGATTCGATGAATAACTGGTCGTTATCGTTTTCTGAAGATAGGAAGCGGTAAAACCAGGAGGGTGGTGGCGGCGGAGGCCGGGGGACGGCGAATGCGATGGGATGGTGGATGAGGGAAAGTAAGTTGGAGATGGAGAGGGAAACGGCGGAGATGTTGGATTCGAGGGTTAGGGTTTGGGTAGGGTTGAGAGTGAGGTCGTGGTTGGTGAGGAAGGAGTGGGCGGCGGCGGTGGCGGACGCCGCCGCTGCGACCAATTGCAGAAGGTTTTGACGGCGGGTTGAGGGCGTTTGTTGTTGTTGCTGTTGTTGTTGGAGCTTTGCGGTGTTGATGTTACGTTTGGCAGAGGCGGAGGACGATGACTTCGCCACCGTCGAATTCCTTGGTCCACCGGCGCCGGCCATGTGCTCTCCCAACCAAATGAAACAAGAGAAAGGAGTCCCTTGAGCCCTTTCTAAATATTTTTAACTTTTAATAATTATTATTTAAATAACAAAAATAAAAGAAATCAATTATATTATCTTAAACATTAAATATATATTTTATTTCTCTTTCATAAATGAAATACTAAAAGAGTACTCGCATAATGCAGCGAAAATAATCCTCATTTTAATGTTTAATTTTTATTCTTTGTCTCTATTGACATGATACAATTTTATGTGTTTTTGAGAAAACGATAATGTTTTTATTTTTGAATGAGATATAAATTTGAAAATAGCATAAAATTTTGAAAAAAAATAAAATCGTTATTAGTATCAAATTAACTATTTAATAGTCCTTGTTTTTTTTTTGTGTAACTTCTTTAATTCAAAATTCTATTATAATTTAATTTAGATTTAATAACAAAGTAATTTATTTTTTATTTAATAATATAATTTTTTATAAAGACAATAATTAAACATTGTGTTATAACTCAATTATTATCTTAATTATATTTTAGATTTTATATATTTAAAATAGATGTTTATCTTGTATTTGATTATGTTTATCTGCAGTTAGTTACACGAATTTAAAAACGGAGCTTTAATAAATTGTACTTACGCAAAATTACTTGTAATCTTGAATTTTAAGTAATATGCATCAATAAACAATGCTTCATGCATAAAAAATGATTTTTAAGAGTTTTTGTCAAATGCTTTATAATATTGTATAGATAAATTATTTCAAAAATACTTAAATTAATTTTAATTTTATATTTTATTAATATCTACCGAGAAAATATGGATTATAATATTTATTTTACATCATCTAAATACCCTGTAATAATACATATTGTTCTCATTCCACAAAACTATATAAGTGTCTGAAGTTCACTATAAAATTTCTGTTAACGACATTCTCATACAAAAGATCCATACAACCACATATCAAAAGCAGACTTCAATTTATTCACGTTTATCTTCAAATGGGAGTTAGACTATACAGCCTAGTGACGAAATCTCTAACAATGCAATAATGCAATAAAACCAATTCATGTAAAAGTTTTTAAACCAATAATCATACAATAGGCTCTTAGGCACTACATCCCAGTTAGTTATAAAGTTGACGTTCAGGCACAACGTTCTAGTTAGTTATAAAGTTGGCACTCTGGCACAACCAACTGTAACAATATTGTAACACAGTCAACAATAACAAATCAAACATACTAATATGGTATAATATCGAAGTAGTAATCAATTGATAACATATGCATTTTCGTTCGAACAGGTTATAAGAAAACTTGTCTTTATCACGAGGATAATCTAAATTCTTCTCTGATAATGAATCCAGATGTCGAACACTTGAAACTGAATAAAAGCAGCATAGGCCACAATCAATAGAGCTAGACTCAATTTTATCTCTAAACAAACTCTAAAAGACCCCGAACGACATGAGGCAAAAGTGGCAAAAACACACACAGTGGCTTACACGACCTGTCACGCGACTAAGGTCGCAGCATAAGTTGCGCAAGTCAGTGTATGTCCTCCTTGACTTGCAAACAAATAATCGGGCCCAAAATGTTACCAAACTCAAACCAATACTTAAACTCATCAAAGGAACATCTAAAAACCAATTTTGATCCCAAAATGAACACGAATGAAAAATGAGAAAAAACCTATAACAGTGAGTTATGCAACTAGCCGCGCGACTTAGGTCGCGGGCTAGATGATGTGAAACACTGTTCTTGACTTCTTTTCCACTATTCACAACAGCTTCTGAATTTCAACCTTTTGACAAGTTCAAATCAAAACCAACCTGATACCACTAAATTACAACCCAACTAACTAATGGAGAAGGTTGAATCAACCAAAAATGGGAAAACCATAAACTACAAAATTTGAAAATAAGCTCAGAGTTCACTGTGACAAAACTTTTCTCTCAACAAAAAGTGATGAGTAAAACAAGCTCAACAAAACCAAATCACCAACTAAGGATTTAACATAAGCCTAGCTCAAGATGGTGAAACCCAAAACTTAAAGATCAAAACATAACTAAGCAACCTTCAGATATAGGTTAAGGAGGATCATACCTTGAGGAGTAGAATATTAACTCAAAACTCTCAAACTTGCTTCATTCTCTATTGACTCCTCACTAGCTCACCAAAGGAAATTAGGGCTCTTATCAAAATACACGGTTACACCTTTAAAACACAGGTTCTAGAAAGAGAAAGAAGGTGAGCTCCTTTAATATGACTCGCAACAATTTCATTCTAAACCTTCTAAATTAGACAATTATTGAATAAGCCCCTAGACCTCTAAATAAACCCAAACTAACTTATCGATGATATTACAACATCTATGTGATATCCTGTAATTTATGAGAAAATACTATAAATAAATGTTTAGATTTGGAAGGCTTATAAAACTAGAGGGACTAGTTTTGTCAATAAAGGAAAATTTGAAGATTTTGGGATAACCTCCCATTACATAGCTTGTAGCCATAGTTTAATGTATAGTCAAATTAGGATTCTTAATTTTATTATCCTTTTAATTTGAGCAGTTAAATCCTTGAGGAAACCAAAAAAATGTGAATTGATGTTTGAAATTCTTAGGGGCTGTTTGGATCATGGGAATTGAAAGGAATTGGAATGTCCAATCCTTTGACCAAATTCCAAATAAAGTGTTTGGTTCATGGAATAAAACTATGGAATTCTTTCAATTCCAGTTGATTCCTTCACGCACAGATTTTACAATTCCATGGCAATATGCTAGGATTTCAATTCATTTCCTACAAATTCCTTCCCTAAACCAATTCCATGCAAGCAAACGCAATCACAAGGCATGGTAAATTCCATCAGATTCCATTCCATTCCCTCAAAGTCAAATTCATTTGATAAATTCCAATTCCATCGAATTCCATTCTACGAACCAAACACCCCCTTAAAGTTTCGAATATTAATTTTAGAGTTTGAAGTTGAGTTTGTGTTTGAAGTTTTAATGGTGATTTTAAGGACTCGTTGAAGAAATCTGATGGAGTTTTCATTAGCGATTTCTAGATATTACACAAGGTACGAAATTTTATTTCATCCCTTTGTGTTTATTCGTTCTGTTGTATGTATGTATGAATTCCTGATTCCAAGTGTTTATTTGTGTCGTTAAATACGTGTACGGTTTCTTTGATTTTCTTTCAACTCGTTCCATTCGATTTGGTGAATAATCATGTTCTTACTTCCACCAAAATTATTTTGCGTTTTCGTTCGATTAGTTGATCGTTTGATCATGTCTATTCGTGGATTAGTAACATCAAACACCATTTTTAAATCCGCAGAATTTCATTCTGAAAATTTCGTGTTATTTGTAAAATTCTTAACAAATCGCTCGTTTATCAGATTAATTCATACGATACTGTTGGTCCCAAAAGGGTCTACAAGAATACTAAACAGTTTGTAGAAGGGGGGGATGAATACAAACACAGAGTTTTCAAATTTAAAATATATATTGATAAAGAAAATCAATACAGACTTTACAAGATTGTTTGCGGAAAGATAAGGTAAGAGAAACCTATCTAAACAATCTTAAGTTACACACAAAGGTTAGCAATTACAAGAAAAGAGATTGCTAAAA